TTCCAGTGTGGGGCCATGTCACAACCTTCTGTGGTCCTCTTCATCATGTTGCCTAAGAGAGAGCAGTCTATCCTGCAGAAACTGACTAAACACTTTGTGGGTGCGTAAAGAACGTAGCTTTTTGCAATACCCTTTGTGCACTATCCATAAAATATGAGCCAAGTGTACAGAGCAGCTTGCACCCCTTCTCCTGCACTTGCTACCTAACAGAATCTGACATTTGACTCTTGCATGAAATAGAGCATTGTGGTCTATTCTAGCCTAGCACAGTTTAGAGTTGTAGTAAAAGCAAGTAAAGGAAGACCTCCGGCTCTTTGTCCAAGCTCCAACGCATGTACTGGTGTCCAAATAGAAACGATCTAATCCTCTCTTCTGCCCTCAACCAGAGTTAAGTACACAAAACTGACCAAGCCAGTCACCTACACTGAAAATGCACTTGGATTTGCCACTGACTGGAGCTATAATGAAAGCAGTGAATAATAAATACCCCCAAAATGTAAAGATATAATCTCTGGTCTCAAGGCATGCAAAAAGTGTCCAAACAGCACAATGGTGGTAAAATAGAAGTGTGTTGATTCTAGCAAGGGGGCAGGCTAGGCCACTGTTCCACTGTCCTCACTCTATGGCCAGGGCAGCTAACCAGGGCAGACTAGATGTAAGCCTCGAACAGCAGGGGTTCCCAACATTTAATGGTGAGAAGACACTTGTTTCTTGTGATCTAGAATGGAGGAACTAATGACAGCAAAATCCTGCTGGCTGCCCTTTAATGGCATTCCAGACTCCAGCTTTCAGCTATACCTACCCTCCCTCCCCTTCCCTAATGGGAATGCCTGCTGGATGTAGGGCAGGGCACCAAAATGAAAGCATCCAAGGAAAATGTCCCAGATGGAGAAGGGCCTGAGCTGGATCTCTTTAGCTTGGAGCAGAGCGTGGTTGGAGCAGAAAGCTGTGTTCAAACATCTGCATACAGCCCAAAGCAGGAATAAACTTGGACGTATTTCAGGAAGTGGAACCAGAGAAAGGTTAGAAGGGACAGGGAGGCAGAATTTAGCAGAACTTTCTAACCTACAGCATCCAACAATTAAGTCATACCATGAAGATGTTTGCTGCAGCAGCTTCGGGGATAGTATCTCCCAGGGTGATTGTAAAGGAGATGGCTGCCAGGATTAGATGCCTCGTAAGCCATATGCCCTCCTCGGGCCCCAAGAGCAGCTGAAGTGAGCAAACATCTTTGGGCACAGGGTGGGGTGGGGCAGCTCTGTCACCTCAGTCTACCCCCATTTGACCCCTAGCTGAATCCCCTCCCCAATTTCCCACCCCTATAGCTGAAGTCCTGTGTCCATCAGCCGCCTGCTCAGCTCTGTAGAACCCATCCTGTTCCTAGCTTAAAAGGCCAGAGACTTTCAAATTTTGACATTCATGTGAGTCACCCAGGGATCTTGGTAAAGTACAGATATGATTCAGGGAAACGAGGGAAGGACTTCAGATTCTGTGCTTCAACCAGCTCCCCGGTGATGCTCATACTGCTGCTCTGTGGACCTCACTTTGACTAGCAAGGCTTGAAGGTCTGGACCAGTGCTATTCACTAGAACATTCCGTGATGACGGAAATGTTCTCTGTGCTGTCCTATGTGGTAGTGCAGGGGAGGCAAAGTTTTACCTCTACCCTTTTAGAGTTTTTTGGCTGGGCCCGAGAATTAAATTGACAGAAAACAGATCAACAGGAAAAAAGCATACAGATTTATCGAATACATAAGGAAATGAAGTCTCAAAGATGCAGTTAGAGATGAACACTTACACTGAATTAGACAAAAACTACTAAATCATAAAAATGTCATGAGGGAAAGGGGCTTGGGCTAAGGTTGTTACATTGGCTAGAAGAATAAGGATTAATCTAACAAGGTTTGCTTGTACAGATTTCCCCAGAAGTTAAACAGCACTTGTATAAATTTAAATTTAAATACGATCTATTCCCTAGTGATAGTTCTTTCTGGTTCCTGGAACCCTGATGTCACTAGAATGCAAATGTTTTCCAACCCTTTCCCTTATCTTACTGAAAATTACAAATATTTGACATAAGAACCATTGAGACCTATACTTTATTTTCATTTTAACCAAGGCTAATTAATTTAGGCTTATAATTTCTATTTCCACAGGTGTCTCACAGGACCACTTAGTCTATAACATCCTTGGCTTAAAAATAAGAATCTGTGCAAAGTTCAACATCATAGGAGTTGCCACACATTGTTCGGCAGAACTCTGTTCCGCAGAGATGCTACATGGGCCACCAAGGGCGAGAGGTGAGACAAAGGAAGGGGACCAGGAGATTGGGCTCAGCCCCCATCCTGTTTCAATAGGGCAGCTCTGCTTTACTCTAGTTCGCTTGTTTAGGTTCTTTGAAAGATTGTTTGACAACATGTATCTGCTGCTAACACAGGTGGGAACCCACCATGCCACTGAATTGATGGCAGGGCTATTTATTGTCGAGGACCCCACTCACCAGCACGTACATTGGAGGTGTTTTTCTCAAGCCCCACTAACAGAAACAAGCGGTGCCTCTCCTGAGCAACTGGTGTGTTTTCACCATAGAGGCGCAGAGGATCTTGGGTAACAGACTGTGTTTGTTTGTTTGCTTTGGCAGCTAGGCAGCCCAGAGCCACATTTACCGCCTATTGACTTGTGACTATGCAGAACCTCATGCTGGCATTCCCTTGTCCCTACTTTATCTTTGACTTCATTTCCACCTCTTACTTTTATTTTCTCTTTCTCATCTGATTGCATTACCTACTTAGGAGCTTTCTCTCTCTCTCTCTTTCCCTCCCTCCCTCCTTAATCCTATGAATCGAAGGGAGGCAGGGACACTTAGAATGGCAGAAGCTCTGCTTATGTAAACTTCTACCCCCTGTTACTCTGTCCCCTCTGTGGGTCAGCCTAGAATCTTCTAGTTCTAATCCTTTAAATCCATCAGAACCCAGACCTTGACTGAATACTGGTGACCATCTGTATCAGATGTGGTTTCATTGCTTGAGTGAATTAACACATCCCCTAGCACAATTAACCATCCCATCACCTATACAGTCTTATAACTTCTCATTCTCACCCTCTTTTCTGGCTCAAAGCAGGAGCCTCTGTACATTTATGTCTTAATACGTAGAAAACTATCTCAAGGCTCCACCTCCATCTCTGATGGTGAGGAAAGAGGCATATACTGCTGACTCATGTCTCAAAGGTTCCTTAAAAATAATTCATATATATTCTTGTTTATGACTGCAATTGGAGTGCATGCTTGCTGAAAAATACAAATATGGCTGTGTATAAAGTAAAAAAACATCACTTCCTCTACTACGTCCACACACCATGGGTAACCCTGGAGGCTTCAAACATTTTATCAGTAGTTTTCTTTTAAACTGGCAAGTTTACACAAGAGCCTCCCACAAGGAGGAATGATACTCACCTCTTCCCCGTATGGAATCCACTTGCCATTTTCATTCTTCCAGTACCAGATCCATTCGGTGGTAAAGACAGAGTTGGCCGGCTTCACGACAGATGCAGGAGTGGACATGCGTCGGACGTTCATGGAACCACAAATCATTTTCTCGAAATCGATTGTGCCCTCTGCTACAGAAACGCTGAGAGAGGAAAGTATAAAGTCAACACAATGTTTCATCGGCCTTTGTTTTCTACAATCGGGTCTTTCCAAAGGAGATTTTAGGGCTAAAAAGCATCTTCAGGATTTTCTTTATGCAGCTCCAAGTCTTACACAGAAAAGAACAACTGAAATGCAGACAAAGTGACCTGCCAGCACCACAGCTTTCAGGGTGTCACAAAATGCATTCTTCCCTCAAAATAAAACTGTGCCCACGAAACAACTGATTGGCTCAATGTCAGAAAGTGAGTTAGACACTCACATTCGGTCAGTTTTAAAAATTAAAA